AAAAAAAATGAGCAAACACAGTATTGTTCCACCTGGGTATGTATGAATCCCAGTAAAACTTTAAAACAAGCAAAAAATTTGAAAATAAATAAATAAACCTGCCCCTCTGTGAAGAGTCAGAGCTGGGACAGACAAGGTCTTTTTGGCAGAAACACTTTGAGGTAGGGAAATGAGAACAGAGCATTAAGAGATTTATCTCAATTCCTGGGAGGAGAAGGGACCGATCTGGCAGATTGTTGAGAAAGTCAACATTTTCATTCAAAGCCTTTGGGCTTTCTGAGACATAAAAAAAAGCCTCACCCATCGGACATGAATGAAGAGTGATGGAGAAAGACCAAGGAAAGCCACCAGCTAAATGCTGCTGATGCCAGTGGATCCTGAGGTCAGAGCTCTAACCTGGGACCTGGGACCTCAGGAGGGCGATGGGCAGCACAGACCTGGGTAAGGAGGGTGAGTCCAAGCACATCACTGGAAGGGAACCGAGCTCCATCACTCCATGAAAGTGATACCACTTCTGTGAGCCTCTCTTTCCTCACCTGAAAAATAATGATTCTATTTATCTAACTTGCTGAGCTGCTCTGAGATAAAGAAGAAAAAAATGTAAAGGGCTTTATAAACAACTTATATATGTATATCTATAGATATTACATATCACATATAATCCTTACTAGGACCAACTGGGTTCAGCCCCTGACTCCCTTCCTCTGGGTAGTGGGAATAGTGTACTCAGAACATCAAAATTATTTGTAAATAAGAAACTCACATTCATTTTGGTGTAAATTTAACCCCAAAGTGATCACAGTTGACCCTTAAACAACATGGTCTGAACTGTGCATGTCCACTTACACATAGATTTTTTTAATAAACATATTGGAAAATATTTCAAACATTTACAACAATTTTAAAAACTAGCAGACAAACCTTGGAAACTAGAAATACTGAAAAAAAATATGAAAAGGTATGTCATGCAAGTACCAAATGATTTCCCTCATTTGCGGAGTATAACAATGAAGCAAAACAGAAGGAACAAAACAGCAGCAGACTCAGAGACTCCAAGAAGGGACTAGTGGTTACCAAAGGGGAGGGGTGGGGAGGGAGGGTAGGGAGGGAGGGAGAAGGGGATTGAGGGGTATTATGATTAGTACACATGGTGTGAGGGGTCACAGGGAAGACAGTGTAGCACAGAAAAGACAACTAGTGACTCTGTGGCATCTTATTACACTGATGGACAGTGACTTCAATGGGGTATGGGGATGGACTTGATAATGGGCGTGAATATAGTGACCGCAATGTTTTTCATGTGAAACCTTCCTAAGAGTGTATATCAATGGTACCTTAATATAAAAATAAAAGGTATGTCATTAATACATAAAACAGATGTAGATCTTAGTTTATTTTATCATTTATTACCATAAAATCAATAGTATGCTATTATCTAAGTTTTGGGGAAGTCAGAAGTTACATGTGGATTTTCATGCAGGTGTTAGCCCCCCTAAACTGTGTGTGCTTCAAGGGTCAATTGTCCTTACTGCTCCTGGTAAGAATTTTTCCTGCTTATCTGCTTAGTTAATCCCTCTCCTTTCAGCAAATATCATCAGCTCAAAAGTCACTTCCTTGTGAAGCCTTCCCAGGGTCCCAGAGGGGAAATGAACCTCATTTCCACTCTGCTCCAAGCTGCTGCATGCACCTGACCATCACAGCTTGTCTGTCCACCACCCCACTATGAGCAACCTGAGTCAAGGCTGAGTCCTCCGAACCTCTGCACCCCTGGGCTGAGTATCTTTTCAGAAAATATGTGTTGACCAGGCTGAATAACATATTCCCCAGCATGAGTAACTATGACAATTGTATATATGTGTGTGTATATATGTCCATATGTACATATCTATGTGTATGCATGTGCTTATATGTGTATTTATCTGGATATATGTGTGTGTGTATATATATATATATATATACACACATACAATACACAATATGCATATATATTAGGTGTGTGTGTATATACATACATATATATATTAAATACAGGTCTCTTTAATAGGATACTATAATCTTAGGAAGCCACTAGTGACCCAAATTACCACATCCAGAGAAGGAAATGAGAATAACCACTTCCTTTATTTCTGAATATATTATGTCACAAAGGTTATTATCTGTTCTGTTCTGGCAATAGCACTATCGCAGCAATCTCTCTAAAGAAACATTATGTCCAATTTGCATGATACCAAAGCACTGGAAAAACAAAATGTTGATCGGAAAGGAATCACGTAGTGGGAAGTCCCCAGTGAATAAACACCTCACTGATGCCGACGCTATGGCTGCAGTTATCTGAGCAATCGCCTCTTCCCTTCTCTTTTGCGATGTGATTTTAAACTGAAAGCATTAAGTAGCAAGGAGCGCCGTAATTAAAGCTTCAAACAGAAAACGACTGAAGAAACACTGAGAGAGATGACATCTCCTTTGAAAGTGCATTTCAATTCTCCCTATGTCTCCAGAAGAAAAATGCTTCTGACAGTCTGTATTTTACCACTGGTTCATTTAATAATGCATATCGACATTTATCCAGGAACATCAGCCCTTGCTTTACTTCTCATTCTAAATCAGCTAAGCAACCAGTCCAGTCCCATTCCCCCTACTCACTCAGTTTGCTTTCTCTGTTGGTTCTCATTTACTTATTTTTAAATTAATTTTTGAAGCAAAGGTAAAGTTGCAGGGTTACCCTACTCTTAAAGCCTAATATCCATAATGTAAACTTTGGGAAGAGGTAGTTCAAGCAGATTTTATCCATCACTTCATGCAATACACAGTTAGGAGCTTTGGAGGTATCATAAAATGAGTATGATATGAGTTCCACTCTCAGAGCATCTGCACATTGGTAACATAGCTACCTGATAAAAACACCCTTTAGAAAAGAACACCGCAAATTAGTCAGGGCTCTAAGCTTCCAAGTAAGGGGAACTGTGTGTTACGGATTTGTCATTGATAAAACAGGGAGAGTTCACAAAGCTGCTTGCTAGATCAATTACAAATGGTACAGAAAGTGTGCTAGCAAAGCACTATTTATAACTAACAGCAACAGTTAATACTTAATGTGCACACACTGTGTGCCATGCTCTGTTCTAAGCACAGCCCATGTATTAAGTCATTTAATCCCCTCAACAACTTTGTAAGGTAGATGTTGTCTCTATGCGGTAGTTGAGAAAACTGAGGGACAAAGAGACAAGAAACTTGCCTAAGGCAAATGAGTACAAGGAAGAGGTGGATTTGAACCAGAAGATCCTGTCTCCAGAACAAGCTGAACCATTTTCTACCACTGCCCTTGGTACAAGCGCACCCTGCAGAGCAGAGCACATGCAACATTACTGGGTTGCAAATAGATTCTCTCCAAGGAACTGGGGGGTTCCCAGACCAAGCTTAGGCTATGCTTCCACTTTTAAAGATAAAACATTTTTAGCAGTAAAATGTTATCACTAATTTTTTGGAATTAATACACCACCACTTGTATGAAATATTTAGAGAAAGAAAGCAGGATATTTGCAATATAGGATGGTGCTTATGAAAAGGTAAGCTAAATATCTAAAGTATAGCTCCTATCGATGAAATGGCTGCACGTATCCCTGGTACGCTTAATTTTCAACAACCGAGGGGGCGATGTCTCAGAATGGTGATGACTGCAGATGAAATCTATAAAATTGTCCGTGGAATATAGCAAACCTTAAGAAAAAATTAAATGTTCAGACAGCATGCTTATTATTATTACTCTGAATTTTAGGAGAACCAAGTGTATATTTCAGACAGTTTTTTGTGTATGTACAAAATGTCTATATTCACAAGACTGAATTTATCAACTTAATAGTAAATTTCTTAATTATATGTCTTCTATCCATATTGGATCAACATTTTACTGCCAGAAAATAAAAACATACACATCTTAATGTTTGATTCTTCCTATGACTGTTTAAAGTTTTAACAGTTACTTTTCTAGTTTTTAATAGCTGGTTTTCTTCCCATTTTCTTCTCTCCTTACCAGATCCAAAGATTTTGGATAGGGGAGAAATAGTTATGTGACTGACCTGCAGCATCTGGTAGGAATGTGTGCATATTCTGACATACTGACTAGTTCATCTCTGAAAGTGTAGCAAGATTATGAGGACAGCCAACCTCTCTGGCCTGATCTACTTACATCAGGGTCCAAACCTACTGATGTGAAAAGCCTTCAATATCTTGCCACCTGTAGACTTTCCGTCTGTCCCTTTCAATAAAGATAGCTTCTACACAAAGAGTAAAATCAAAATTCTAGCCTGCAAGTCTCTAAGGACCAAAATGACATCACCAGAATGATGCCTATCTCCATTAGACAGACATTATTAGACGATGTTATAGGTCTTTTCTCCACATCAGCGCTTTCTGAGGGGTGCGATGTATACCCAAGGGGTGAGGGCATATGACGCTGGCATGTGAGAGGGCTTCCTCTGACGCTGCTGGAGAGCTGACCACCTTCAGAGGAAAAGGACCACAGAATCAGACCTTAATGGGCATCCTGTAGCGACAGAACTCTTCTCTTAACCAAGCCAAGTTTACTGAAATTCAGAGCAGCAGCTCTCTGTTTTTACATTCAGAACAGAATGGCTAAAGAGACATAATCATTCCTTGGATCAGGCGAAACACAACACTCATATTCATACTGCTAACTATTTTGGTCAGAATTGACAAATGAAATTTTACAAATAATGGATCAAGTGGAAATGCCACAATTGTAAGAGGGAACGATTCTCAGCTGTACCAAATGAGCTGAGTTCATTGTGTGCTTTAGCTGGAAATCCAGGTTTCAGTTAAGGACAGGGGTGGAGGATTCAAAGCAGGTATCCAAACCACCCCGAGTGGTCTGATGGGACCTCTTAGACATTTACACACCACTGGAAAACTTCAAAAACAAATGAAAAATTAAAATGTGTATCCTGATTGTCTTTCTTAGGTACACTAATATGTCAGGAAATGAGGCACATAACCTGTCCAGTCTGTAGGAGGGGCATTTTGCAGCCATGATTGCTTATGGACAAAGTCTTCTGCAATGTCTCATTTTGCAAGATGACCACTTATTAAATCCCTCTAAGACAACCAAAACTTTCTGGTACAGTATTTGGGACATCAATAAATATTTGTTGATTGCTGGCTCAATCATGAATCTCTTTTTACTTAAATATATGCAGTGTCCTGTGGAGTGTAATGAGGGTCTCTCATAAGTGCTTTGAAAAGGAATAAAATAAAATGCGTTCCCCTTTCTTCTACGGGACAATTAAAAGAGAAGGGACGCTTGGCTTTCTATTCCTGATGACATTTTCTGTCCAATTTAAATCCCCTCAGAATCACATTTGAAAAGTATCTGCCTTACCCTATATGTTAATACATAAAACTGAATCTACTCTGTTCTTATGGTGATTTGGATAACTGTTGTCAAGAATAAGGGAGACCTCAGTTCTAATGCACTTGAAAGTCATCCATTATGCCATTTCTTCAGCAGGACAAAAAGGTT